TCTGCTCTCCCCATCCTCTCCTCCTATCTGCACCCCCCAACCTCCTCCCCACCTCATGCAGAGTCCCTGCAGGACACTGCCATGCTCCACCCTGGAGCATACAGCTGGTTTGGCTGAAAGCATCCCAGCAGATGGGGACCAGCATGATGTCCTGCAGCCAGACCTGTCCCAGCCCTGGGACCAGCCGTGTTTCAGATGGGGCAGCTAATAACCCCAGGAGGTCCCCAAGGCCGGTGTGGTGGTGGCTGGCACTGCAAGGGCTACCCGTACCCTGCCGTGTCGGAGGGGTCTGCGGAGGGCTGTCCCTTCCCAAGATGCTCTGAAGCAAATGGGATCTGCTCCCTTAACGGGGCAGCACATCCCAGACCCACCCCACATCCTTCCCTAACCCCGGAACCTCCCTTCTGGGCCCCCCCTTCTCTGCCCACCTCCCCAGAGAGTTTGCTGGATCGGAGGGGCTATGAAAATGGTTGGACCATCCCCAAATACCAGTAACTCCCTCCAGACCGCAGTAAACTGGGAAGGCGAACCAGTTTAGGGTTGTCCAGCCATGCCCCAGCTGCACCCTTCCCTGCTGCCACCAGGGAGCATCCTGGGGACATTTAATCAGGCTGTCTTCACCCTGGGTCCGTCTGAAACCCTCCAGGTATTGTGCCAGGCTTTGGGAAGATGCCGTTCCCTTTATGCCTAGTCCTTAGTGCCCTTGGTGTCCCCACAGCCAGATGTGACCCAGCCCTGCTTTGGATGGACAGGGTGCCTGCTGCCATGGTGGGGGCCCCCAGCCACTTGTCCCTGCCCTCCCCCATCTCTGCTGTCCCCATGCGGCACAGTGTGACAGCTCTGTGCCTTCCCTGGAGGAAGCATCACCCCAGAGCAGCTCCAGAGCAGCTGGGTCAGAACATGGGCTTCAGAGGGCAAATGGGGTTTGACCTGTTGACCCAATAACCTGCAAAGGAACAGCCATGGAAGAGGACGCTCCATCCTCCTCCTCGTACATGTCAACACAGGAAGGACACTCTTATATTTTTGCAGGGGAAGGCCACCACCTCCAGCCTGCCATGACCAAGGACCAGTAAGGGCCAGGACTGAGGCTGGCGGCGGCTTTTGCCACTCATCCCACCCAGATGTCCCCATCTCCTGGGGGTGGCAAAGATCCCAAAGGATCTGGGAACAAGGGGAGACGTGGGGGGTCCCATGCCTCCCAAGTGGGGGACTTCTGTGGCGAACAGCGAGACGGACGGAGGGACCATCCCCACCACCTGCTCCATGAGGGAGCCCACCCTTTCCGCAGGCTGGAAATGCCCCGGGATCCCACCGGGAGATGGTGGCCAGAGGCATCATTCCTGCCCGGCACCTGTAAAGCCTTCGGGGATCCCATGGGGTGGCAAAAGG